AAACCTGTAAGTGTAACAGGCTGCTTCCCCCCAAGGACAAGTCCCATGCCTGATGTGCTTGCCACATACTTTGCCACCCTCTTAGCCGCGTACCAGTGGGAAGGTCGGTGTCTCCCAGGCGCAACAAAGCGCGCAAGGACGCTAAGAGGGTAAGCTAGGTCAAGGCAATTACAGGTCATCAGGTACATGAGAGAACCCACCAGCTCAGGATATGGACCACTGGACTCAAATGGCTCGTCCGAAGTTGGAGCCGTGAGCCCATGATCCACAGCAAGAGGGGTGGGCTGTACTTGGAGAACGGGAAGCGAAACTGCGTGAGGATCTGCTCGACCATACGCGACTGCGTCAGCGTAATGGTGCGAGCTGCCCTGTCCCTGGTGATCTGCAGGCCAAGGTAGTGCTGCAGCTCACCAAGGTCAGTGCAAGTGTGTCTCCTCTGCAGTTCCTCCTTCACGGAGGCCAGGGCGCGTCGGTCGGGAGTGGCGAAGACCAGGTCATCAACGTAGACCAGAACAAAGAACGGGGTCGAACCACGGCGGACAAACAGCGACGGGTCGGCAGACGATGGAAAGAAGTCAAGCGCTGCAAGAGTCGTACGTAGCGTGTCGTGCCACTCGCGGGGAGCCTAGCGTAGGCCGTAGACCGGTCGACGCAACTGCCACTGGGTCTCAAGAGGGAAAGAACTAGTGAAGCCAGGCGGGCGACGCAGCCAGATCTGCTCGTGCAGGCTCCCCTGTAGGAACGCGGTGGAGAAGTCTAAGGAGTGCAACTCATAGCCGCGCTGAGCTGCAATATGCAGCAACACCCGAAGAGTGGTCATCTTCGGGGTGGGAGCAAAGGTCTGGAAGAAGTCTACCCCCTCTCGCTGACTGAAGCCTCTCGCCACGTAGCGCGCCTTGAACACCGGTGGTGCTCCAGGCGGCCGCTTCACCTTGTAGAGCCACATGCCACTGACAACGCTCGCCCCAGGTGGTGGGACTGCGTCGACGTAGGTGCCTGTGGACCTATAAGATGCCATCTCTGACTCCTCAGCTGCTATCCAGTACGAAGCCCAGGGTCCCGAGACCGCCTCAGCGTGAGTGCGAGGAATCGGGATATCAAGGGCGTCTGGATCCCCCTCAAGGGCAAACAGCATGGCGCAGAGATGAGGAACAGTGGCCGCAAGGAAACCAAGCTCGAACTGCCTGTCCTCAAGGACCTCTAGGGGAAAAACAGGAGCACCCCCAGAGAACGAAGAACGAGCAAGGCCACTCACCAAGTGAGCGGTGTAGTCAAGGCGGTGGGACGAGGCAAAGCCAGCGACAGTAGTAACAAGTGCCAAGACAGACGATAGAGGTGCAGTCGGGTGAGTGACCAACGCAGACAAAACACGGGAGACGACAAGACGAGAGGCACGGAGGTAGTCGGACAACGGGTCGTGAAACACAGTGAGGGACGACTCTGGAGGCTGTGGGAGGACAGGAGGGGGTGGAGCACGTGAGCGGAGAACAAGGTGAAACGGACTGTCTGCACGGTAACGGGACCGACGAGGCTTTGAAGACACAGCACAACTGAGGGGAGAACGACGAGTCCACTGGGACGAGGAAAGAGACTGGACGGGGGGAACAGGAGGGGACGGTAGGGGACCACGAACCAAGCGTGCAAGTGCTGGGTCGGGCAGGTCGCGCAGGCGCAGTCGCTGCCGCTCTGCCTCCTCTGGCATCTGCTGCGACGGTACCTGCCCCTGCTGCTACTCCTGTGGATCCTCCTCTGCCCTCTCCTGCTGCGGCTGCAGCTGCACCCGCTGCTGCGACCGGGACTCCTGTGCTACCCTCTCCAGTTGCAGTCGTGACACCGCTACTCTCTCCTACTGTGTCTGTAACTGCACCTGCTGCTACGGGCGGGACTCCTGCTCTACCCTCTCTTGGTGCAGTCGTGACTCCTCCTCTACTCTCTCCTGCCGCAACTGCAACTCCACCCGCTGCTGCACTCGTGACTCCCCCTCTACTCTCTCCTGCTGCGGCTGCAACCGCTCCTGCTATTGCAGTTGTGACCCCTCCTCTGCTCTCTCCTGCTGCTGCGACTGAGACTGCTCCTGCTGCTGCTGCTGTGCCCTCTTAAACCACTCACGCTCCTCCCTCTCCAACCGGAGGAGACGCTGCTTACGGGTTAGGAAACGTACAATGCGCGGTGTAGGCGCCAAAGTGCCAGTGCCACCAACTCCAACACCCCCAGAACCAGCACCTCCACCACCGACACCCCCGGGGCCTCCAGTACCTCCCGCAGGAACACCCCCAGGCTCCGCAACAACCGGTCGCATAGAAGAACGAGGAGGGAACTGCGGGACGGACGGGAAGTCAGTGGGTGACGCGGGGCGAGGCCGCCGACTCGAGGCTGTCGTGTCCTCCACGGGAGTGGCCTCCACGCCCACACCCTTTGCACCCCCAGAGCCGACACCGCCAGCTCCTGCAGCCCTAGTACCGTCACCCTCCGCAACTGCACCTCCCGCACCCCCAGACACGACAGGGAGTAGATGCTGCGGGGGGGACGACTGCGGAGTGACGTGCGACACACCTGACGGGGCAGGACGCGAAGGGGGGGGGGGCTACTGGGGCGACAGGGGGGGGCTCAAGGGTGAGGAACTGCGGGGGAGAAAAGACCTCAGTACCTCGGTGGGGGTGACTCCTGTAGTAACAGACAGACTCGTCGAACGTGACGTCCTGAGAAGCGAAGAACTCGTAGGTGACCGGGTCGTAGAACACCCAGCCAGAGGCGTCCAAAGGGAAGCCAAGAAAGACCCAGACACAAGTGCGCGGAGACAACTTATTCATGCCAGGGGCGCGAACGTGAGCCAGAGAACCCCAGACGCGGAAGTCAGCTGCTATGCCCGGAGAACCTGTCCAAAGGGAGACCGGCGTCACTTGTGGCCGTGCGTCACTGGGCCACAGGTTCAGTTGGTGCGTGGCGTAGCGGGCTGCCTGAGGCCACAAGAACTGGGGGGCACCGGCATGGCACATCGAGGTCCAAGCAACCTCCATGACCAGGCCGATGCGTCGCTCGGCTACCCCGTTCTGCTGCGGCGAGGCTGGTAACGTGTAAGACAGGATGATCCCCCGACCCTCACAGAACCTCTCCTGGCGAGTGGAAGAAAACTCACCACCACGATCTGAGTGTAGGCGGAGCCCACACAAGCCCTGGGAGCCACCCCTCGCTAGTAGCCACGGCTCAAGGATGTTAGGCACGTCGGCCTTCCGTCGCAGGGGGAAAACCGTGGTGTAGCGGGAGTAGTCGTCCACCACAATTAGGAAGTAGCGCTCCTGACGTGGGCCAAGGACCGGGGAGGGGCTCCAGACGTCCAAGTGCAGGGTCTAGAAGGGAGTTGTGGTGGGGGGGAACGAGGAGGAGTGAGGGGCAGTGCGCTGCCGACCCTCGACGCAAGGAGTGCACGGCGGCACAGGTGAGCGAGGAAGCGGGGCAAGCGACGCTGGGAGACCTGAGACCAGACAGTGACGTACCATCCTACTGAGACGTGGGAACGACGGGTGACCTAGACGGTGGTGCCAGAGGACCGACGGGTGGGTGAGTGTCCGACAGTCGCACGACACAGCAGCTACCTGACCTGACCTGACCTGACCTGACCTGACTCAGTGTGGTGGGACCCGGTGTGTAGTGAGTACAGACCAGAGCCTGGCTCTCTGTGGAAGGTGGCCTGAGGTGCCCCAGTGGCACCGACTATGCAGGAGGCAAAAGTCTCGTCCAGTGGGAAAGTAGTGACTACGCCTAGGTCGTGAAGGTGACTGACACCCACCAGGTTCCTGGAGAACGAGGGGGTGTAGTAACCTGTGAGATACCCAAAGGGAGCCGCCGGACACGGGAGAGTGGTGGTGCTGCGGGCAACTACAGGTCCCACAGAGGGGTCAGCCAAGGCAACAGTGACTGAAGAGCGCAGAGGTGTCAGTACAGTCGCGAAAGAAACAGCTGGACGCTCCAGAGTCTAAGGTGAAGGAAAGTTGTGCAGTCTGTGAGGTCGAACCCAAGCCAGCGACAAAGGCTGGTCCTAGACTAGTGGTAGCTGCAGCTCCTACACAAAGACCCTCAGAGGCGCCTGGACTGGAAACAACACACGCACCAAGACTGGAAATATAGGTCTCTACTCGTGCAGCTGGGAAAGGTCCTAGACCAGGTAGGTGAGACTCAACTGGTGCAGCAGTGCGCTGGCGAAGATGCGAGGGCCAGTGCGGTGTAATAGCGTGAGGACCAAAATGCTCACGGTGAAGGTCGTCGAGTCGACGGTAGCAGCTGGACGCAGAGTGGTCAGGACTCCAGCAAGTAGTGCCAACACCAGGGCCTGTCAGGGCCCGGTACCCGCAGGGGCCGACGTCTCACCCACTGCTAGATGAGCCACTGCTAGGGGTGCCACACTTTGGACCCGCATGTCCCCACTGTCGGGAGTGCTGCGGCTGGCCCTGCTGCTGTAGAACTCTAGTACATGCCATATGAGGAGCAAGAAACGGGGGGGGGAGGGGGGGGGGTGCGCTGATGGTATCCTAAGCTGCTGCTGGTGCGCTGGGGGGTAGCCTATGCTGCTGCTGGTTCTGCTGGGGGCAGCCTACGCTGCTGCTGGTTCTGCTGGGGGCAGCCTAAGCTGCTGCTGGTTCAACTGGGGGCAGCCTATGCTGTTGCTGGTGCTCCTGGCGGCAGTCTAGGCTGTTGCTAGTTCAACTGGAGGCAGCCTAAGCTGCTGCTGGTGCTCCTGGTGGCAGTCTTGGCTGCTGCTGGTTCAACTGGGGGTAGCCTATGCTGCTGCTGGTGCTCCTGGTGGCAGTCTAGGCTGCTGCTGGTTCAACTAGGGGCAGCCTAAGCTGCTGCTGGTGCGTTGGCAGCAGCCTATGCTGCTGCTGGTTCAACTGGGGGCAGCCTATGCTGCTGCTGGTGCTCCTAGCGGCAGTCTATGCTGCAGCTGGTGCGCTGGCGGTGGCTGGCGCTTGCTGGTGGCGGCCTACGCTGGTGCTGGCGGCGGGTTACTGGCGGATAGCAGTCCGTATGGGGTGGAGGGCGGCGGGAGGTGACTGGGAGTCGACTGGGAAGGGGGGTGGGACGCGGGGGCGACAGGAGGCGACTGAAAGGGGGACGGGGAGGCGACGGGAGGCGACGCGGAGGCGACGAGAGGGGGGGGACGGGGAGGCGACGAGAAGCGACGCGGAGGCAACGGAAAGGGGGGCGGGGAGGCGACGGGAGGCGACGCGGAGGCAACGGGAAGGGGGGGACGAGGAGGCGACGCGGAGGTGACGAGAAGGGGGGGACGGGAAAGCGACGAGAGGCAACGCGGAGGCGAAGAAAAGGGGGGACGGGGAGGCGACGGGAGGCGACGCGGAGGCGACGGGAAGGGGGGGACGGGGAGGCGACGAGAGGCGACATGGAGGCGACGGAAAGGGGGGCGGGGAGGCGACGGGAGGCAACGCGAAGGCGACGGGAAGGGGGGGACGGGGAGGCGACGGGGGGGCGACGCGGAGGCGACAGGAAGGGGGGGGACGGGGGAAGCGATGAGAGGCGACGGAAAGGGGGGACTGGGAGGCAACGGGAGGCGACGCGGAGGTGATGGGAGGCGACGCGGAGGCGAGGGGGGGGACGGGGAGGCGACGAAAAGGGGACGAGGAGGCGATGGGGAGGGGACGGGGACGCGACGGGAAGGGGACGGGGGCGCAAGCTACACGGGCGCTACGGGTACGAGGCGCTTCGGGCTACGGGGCGCTTCGGGCTACGGGGCGCTTCGGGCTACGGGGTGCTTTGGGTTACGGGGTGGTGGGCCCAACAGATCGATCTAGCTCTATACCATGTTATGGAGGTAACTATCGAATGAATTGATGAGAAACAAGCGGTACAAGGATGGATATAGGAAACCCTAACTTAACCTAGGGCAAAGTGTAACACACCTAGACTAACACACATAAACTATAACAAATATAGTTTGACACCCTACTCCTATATCTGACTACTACCGTGCTGCTCGCCCTGTTGTCTCACGTGTTCTCGCCAATCTTGCCACCGACTCTTCGTTTCTCTCCGTCGTCTTTCTCAGCTCTCACTGCCGCTGTCGCTGAGTTTGCTACCACCAGCCGCCTTGACTTCACCACGTGTGTGGTGCCTGCTCCACCTTCCCGCGTCCTCTGTCCGTCGGAGGTGAGTTTGCCCTCGGCTGTGACATCCTAGAGGACAGACAGTCTGAGCTGGAGTACTTGGCAGCCGCTTCTCCCTCTCTCTGTGTCATGCTGCTATCCCTTGAGGGAGACCCCGACGCCCTTGACATACCGATTCCTCGCACGTACCGTGAGGCAGTGTCAGGGGAGTGGGCCTCTCAGTGGAAAGCGATTATGAAATTAGAGTTAGCGTCTTGGAGATCCACAGGCACGTACGTCGACGCAGTTCCCCCTCCCAGGGCGAGCGTTGTCGATGGCATGTGGCTCTTCAAGGTGAAGCGGCCGCCGGGATCACCGCCTGTGTTCAAGGCGCGCTACGTGGCTAGGGGTTTCACTCAGCGTGAGGGAGTTGAATTCTTCTAGACCTTCGCCCCGACCCCGAAGATGACGACTCTTCGTGTGTTACTTCACGTAGCAGCACAGCGAGACTACGAGCTGCACTCTCTCGACTTCTCCACTGCGTTTCTCCAGGGCCGCCTGCACGAGGAGATCTGGTTGCGGCGTCCTCCTGGCTTCACTGACACCTTCCCACTTGGGACCCAGTGGAGCCTGAGACGACTAGTCTACGGTCTCCGCCAGTCGCCCCATGAGTGGCATGACACTCTTCGCTCCACGCTTCGTGACCTAGGGTTCCGTCCTTCTTCGGCTGACCCGTCGCTGTTTGTTCGCGCTGGTTCCACTCGTTTCTTTATATTTTTCTACGTCGACGACTTGGTCTTTGCTACAGCAGATAGGGCAGCTCTGGCTAAGGTGAAGTCCGAACTGCAAAAGAGACACACGTGCACTGACCTCGGTGAACTGCAGCGCTACCTTGGCCTGCAGATCACCAGGGACAGAGCCGCTCGCACCATCACACTGACGCAGTCACACATGGTGCAGCAGGTCCTTCGGCGGTTCGAGTTTCAGTTCTCCACCACCCAACCCACTCCTCTTGCTGTTGACCACATACTCACTGGCCCCTTTTCCGACAAGCCCTTTGAGTCTAGTGGTTCCTACGCAGAGCTTGTGGGCTGCCTCATGTACCTGATGACTTGTACTCGGCCGGACCTCGCCTTTCCCCTCAGCGTCATCTCTCACTTTGTTGCGAGTGTGAGACACCGTCCTGTTTACTTGACAGCTGCTGTGCGGGTGGCGAAGTACCTGGCGACTACATCAGGCATGGGGCTTGTGCTTGGAGGGACTCAGCCAGTTGAGTTGACCGGTCACTGCGACTCTTCGTACGCTGACGACGTGGAGACTCAGCGTTCGACTCAGGGTTACTACTTCAGCCTGGGTGCTGGTGCTGTGTCGTGGAGGTTTACACGATCGTCGTCTGTGGCTTCGTCCAGTGCTGAGGCAGAGATGTACGCTGGTGCCATGGCGGCACAGGAGCTTCGCTGGTTGACCTTCTTGCTAACCGACCTTGGTGAGCGGCCTCGCTCTGCACCGACCTTGTAGGCTGACAACAAGGCCATGATCCTCCTGTGTCGAGAGCCTCGACTGGAGAGCAGAGTGCAGCACATTGACGTGAGGTACTTTCTCCTGCGAGAGTTGCAGCGATGCGGCCAGGTATGCTTGGACTTTGTGGCCTCAGAGGCCAACAGTGCCGACGTCTTCACCAAGGCATTGGCGCCTGGTGACCACCACAGGTTCTGTGTGCAGTTGGGGCTTGTTGAGGTAGGCCCTCGGTTGCTGTAGCTTGTTGTTTGTTTTGCTTGCTTTGTTTCTATATATCCTAGTGAACTCTTGAACTGGCCTTGTGGCCGCTTGCTTGTGCTCGGCGTGTGTGGTGACTCTGAGTGCCACCCTGAGCTCTGTTTTGTTGCTTGCTCTTGACTGGTCTTGTGATCGTTGTTTCCCTTGCTAGTTCTTGGATGCACCTCACTTAGCCTATGGGGGTGTGTCAAATAATGTTAATATGCATTGTCAGGTTTCTAGGCTACAATGAGTTGCCCTTAGAGGGTACAACCCATTCTAGGTTACCTTTGTATCTCTCTCGACTTCGAACCACAACACAATTCTATCAACTATGCTCTCCTAGGATATCTTAAGACAAACGAACAAAAGAATGTTTTTTTTTTTTTCCAAGCACTGCCTTCGCAACCTAGTGCAACTTCTCGTTAGCATTACAACTAAGATCAGCTAAGAACCAGAGCCCCTCCTCTATGGCTATATCGATGTCAAACAAAGCTCCATCTTCCGTAACGTTGCTCCGCAAAGGAGCCGATTCACTATTATTCCTCACCTCCACTTCGTCACCACCATTACTGCAGCCCCCAAAAATATCCTCCACCAGTCTATTAGCGAAATAAGAAATGCCACCCTCAGCAGCTGGAAGAGCAGGTCCTCTCGCAGCTTCAACTGAATCGCGCTGTAGCGAGGACGGGTCAGCAGTTGTATTCAAAAGAATAGCTGATATGTTAGCAGGAATGGTGGTGCAAGAAAGCCGAGAATGCTCAGTTGAGGACAACCCTGCAGCACTGGTGAATTGCAGCAAGGGGGCAGCAACATCCACTTGTGGTAACCCTGTAACCATAGTACCCGCTGAACCCAGGTAGCTGAGGTCACGATCAGGAGGGTAGTTACCAGGAATCTCTGCTGTAACACTAAACCGAGCGTCGCGATCTTGAGGATTCTGAAAAGCGTGGCCCGGTGCAAAGGGCACAGAAGAAGGTTGAAAGCAGGTGGGAGGCTGAAAATCTCTTGCCCTCTGAGAACTCTCGAGTGCGTGACTTGCTGCATTTTGAGAATTCTCAAAACCTGCTGCAACAGGTGGGCAGCTAGCACGACTCGACACGAAGGTCAGAGAAGCAGGTTGACAACCGGTGGGCGGTAACGGGAATGTTGGTTGTTGAGTCGTCCCATAACCATGCTCCCCCGCAAAGCACACAGACGCAGGTTGAAAACAGGTGGGCGGTGGCACGTCCGTGTGCTGAGCTGCTGCTCTGGGCAAGCCGATTGCCGTTGCAGCCATGGTCCGTTTCTGGGGCGCCTCAAAATTCGTGAGTTGACCTGCTGTTGTGAGCAAGCCGTCTGTTTCTTCAGTCGTGGCCGACGCTGCCGGTGCCGCCGCTGCTGGCCGCACTGCTGCTGCTCTTGCTGCTGCTGCTTCTGCTGCTGCTGCTCTTGCTGCTGCTGCTCTTGCTGCTGCTGCTTCTGCTGCTGCTCTTGCTGCTGCTGCTTCTGCTGCTGCTGCTGCTGCTGCTCTTGCTGCTGCTGCTTCTGCTGCTTCTGCTGCTTCTGCTGCTTCTGCTGCTTCTGCTGCTTCTGCTGCTGCTGCTGCTGGTTGGGCTGAGTTCAAAGACGTCTCACAACGTTCCACAAATGATATTTCCTCAGCTGGATTGGCAGTCATGGAAGGAGGAGGAGGCTCTATGGGGTTCGTTTCACCGCAGTTGCAGCAGCAGCAGCAGTGGGTGGGTTTTGCTGCAGGCACGTTGAACGGTTGGCTTGGTGTGGATGCGTATGGGGAAGGTGCATATGGTCCAGGTGGGTACGATGAAGACGCATGTGGGGGGGGTGGATATGGTATTGTTGCGGAATTGCTCACAAGAGGGGGTGATGGCTGATTTGGTGGTGGTTGCAGGGAGGGCTGAGAAGAAGGTGGGCTGAGAAAATGGGCTGCTGGTGGCTGTACTGGGAGAGGTGGAGGAGGGGACGGTAAGGGAAGATGCTGCTGTGGTGGTTGCGAAGGTTGCTCATCGAGGCTGCTGCCAGCTGACAGCACCACATGCTGCTGCTGCTGCTGCTGCTGCTGCTGCTGCTGCTGCTGCTGCTGATAATGATGATGATAATGATGCTGCTTCTGCTCATCATGCTGCTGCTGCTCATCATGCTGCTGCTGCTGCTGCTGCTGCTGCTGCTGCTGCTGCTGCTGCTGCTGCTGCTGCTGCTGCTGCTGCTGCTGCTGCTGCTCCTGCTCCTGCTCCTGCTCCTCCTCCTCCTGCTGCTGCTGCTGCTGATAATGATGCTGCTTCTGCTGCTGCTGCTGCTTCTGATAGTGCTGCTGCTGCTGCTGCTGCTGCTGCTGTTGCTGTTGCTGCTGCTGTTGCTGCTGCTGCTGCTGCTGCTGCTGCTGCTGCTGCTGCTGCTGCTGCTGCTGCTGCTGCTGCTGCTGCTGCTGCTGCTGCTGCTGCTGCTGCTGCTGCTCCTGCTCCTGCTGCATCTGCTGCTCTTGATCCACTTCCTTCTGATGCTGATGCTGCGGCTCCTGATAATGATGCTGAAGGGATGGATGATCGGCCTGGGGTACTCCATATCCCTGTTGGAGGTGCTGATGCTGATGATAGGCCTGGCAAGGTGGTTGAAGTTGCTGCGGTTGCTGCTGCTCCTGCTCCTGCTGCTGCTGCTGCTGATAATGATGCTGAAGGGATGGATGATTGGCCTGGGGTACTCCAGATCCCTGCTGCTGCTGCTGATGATGATGATGATGATGATGATGATGATGATGTTGGAGGTGCTGATGCTGATGATAGGCCTGGCAAGGTGGTTGAAGTTGCTGCGGCTGCTGCTGCTGCAGCTGCATGGCCTGGTATTGAGCAATGTAAAGCGGCTTGAACTGATGCAACCCTGCTTCTAAAGGTTGGGAAGAGCAGGAGCAGACAGCAGCGGTGCTGGAGGGAGAAGGATAAATAGGAGTAGGAGGAGGAGGAGCAGAACGAAAGGGAGAGGAACCAGGGCAGGGAACAGCAAGAGTGGGTGAGGGAGGAGGGTGAAGAGGAAGAGGGTGGTGGTCTGGATGAGGTTGTACCGGATATGCTTGCATTGGGGATG